TTTTCCATCTTAAAAATCTAGACATACTTTTGATCATTGTCAAAATATGAATAAAATACGAAGCTCGTAGAAATTGGGTAACTAATCTGCACGATAATCGCAATAAAATTTGCTGCGCAAGTAATTCAATAGCCCTATATCACAGTGTAGAAGTTTATCATATACCTGTGTATGAAATTCACAATGGCGATATGTAAGTAAACAAGATGACTGTAATGTGTTAGTTATATATTCTTCACTTCGTCTATACAATATATAAGAAATACTTTGGTTGCAATAAAGTAGAATCACGTAACAGAATAGTTGTATAGTTGACAAAGACTGAATCTTGCACTGACGCAAATGTCCTATAGCGGCTGCAAGAGGCTTACACTTTTGTTTTATAACTGTTACCTGCAGCCCTTATTTAACCTCTTAAATGACTGAAGTGTCCTATTAGGTGTGCCCATTCCGCTTGTATAGCAGTTCTAAGAGGGTTTTACCAATTATATATATACAATGCTGTTTAAGGAAGACTATTGAAATGAAATACATTTTTCACCTACAAGTAATCTTTGTAAAATGGAACGAAGTTTTCATGCTGCCTCCTGTCTCTGTTAGAACTCGTAAGACCAATTGACCGGACCAACGTGGCTTGAACGCTGAACATCTGCGCGAGCCCTAAGCACTCCAGTGGTATGCCAGAGTTGGCATCCGTTTAACATGGCCAAAAAGAATCACAGACAAGCTCAGGACGGCAAGAGAAAAAGAGAATGACCAGATCTTAGTTGCGATGGCCGTAAGAGATCTGCATGAAGGGGATTGGAATATTGTAGGAACAAAAAATGACAATCCTGGGAGGGTGAAAGCCAAGTAATAGGAAGAAATAATGTTGCGGAACGTAGCTATACCAATGATTCTGTGTAGATTAACCCCATCCATGGGAGCTAAGTATAGTAAGGGCCATATTCAGCGAGGAGTTCGACGTTACCTTGTCGCTAAAGGCATAGCGACATGGCGACGGTTTCGAATGTTACAGCTTCCCCGTTAATGCTATCACAGATAGAGTTTACAGTGGAACGCTTTATTAAACTTGCTCCACGGAGTTGCGCCATGAATAAATCATGGTTCACGTACGAGGGAGAATTGGTATAATAAAAAGCCTCTAATTGAGTCTCTTGCAAGAGGATATATCGTCTGCCTCTACACCAAATCTACTGCGGCCATTTTAGTTGTCTCAGATAACGAATTCGTACTAGGTAGAAGGAGCGATCTCACTATTTGTTTTTCGTAAAAGTCAGTAGCCAGGATACAAGTTCATACTACAAGTCGATGAGGCTTAGTTCGGTAGTTGACATTTCATATTAAAGTACTTTTCCACAAAAACATGTAAAAGTGCATGTGTTCCATACAATCCTAGAGTTCCTGACAAATGTTGAAAATGGTGGAGGTTTGTGTGGACTGCAAAAAGCAGTTTAATATGGATAAGAGCACATCTTCTTATCGACAAGTGTGATAATATTATAGTCACCGCGTTACGAAAAGGCATGTAAGGGTGGTCCATTTAATTTTTTTTTAAAAATGCTATAAAAAAAAACTACTAAATATTTTTCCAATTTTTTTTTTATTTGAAAGTACAATCCTTCCGATTAAGTATGGAATACAACATCATTTAAATGACTGCCGCGGCTGGCTTTGCAGTAGCCCAAACGGTCAGTCCAATTTTTGACCACATTTTCAATCGTATGTGGCTGTATTTCAGCAATGGCAGCGCGTATGTTCTCTTTTATTTCGCCAATTGTTGCTGGTTTGTTGGCATAACATTGGTCTTTAATGGCACCCCATAAATAATAATCTAATGGGGTCAAATCACAGCTCCGAGGCGGCCAAACAACATCAGAATTTCGGCTGATAATGCGATCACCGAAAACACTTCGCAGAAGAGCAATCGTAGCGTTTGCTGTGTGACACGGAGCACCGACTTGTTGAAACCAGATGTTACCGACATCAATATCTTGAATTTGTGGAAAGAAAAATTCATTTATCATGGTACGGTAACGCTCACCATTCACAGTAACTGCTGCTCCGGCTTCATTTTCAAAGAAAAATGGGCCAATGATGCCACCAGCCCAAAATCCGCACCAAACAGTCACTCGTTCTGGATGCATTGGCTTTTCTTCGATTGCGTGTGGGTTCTCTGAACCCCAAATGCGGCAGTTTTGCTTATTAACATAGCCGCCAAGGCCAAGATAAAAATGCGCTTCATCTGAAAAGATGATTTTTCGACCAAAATCAACATCTTCATCAAGTTGATTGCAGGCCCATGAAGCGAAGCGATAACGCATTGGATGGTCAGTTGGCTTCAATTGCTGAACCAATTGAACTTTGTACGCCTTCATACCAAGGTCTTTATGCAAAATTCGACCTAATGATGTGCGTGAAATGTTCAATTGTTGAGAACGTTGGCGCGTTGATGTGCTTGGAGACTCTGTCACACTCTCAGCTACAGCATCGATATTCTCGGGTGTACGCACCGTTTTCGGTCTTTCACGTGTTGGTTTGTCAATAAGACCAGTTTCACGAACTTTTTGCACAAAATACCTCACATACGGTGCTGATGGTGCTTCATTTCTTCCCATTTTTGCACGTAATTTTCGGACACAATCTGCAACATTACCACCACTTTCGAAATATTGTTTTAATATTTCCCAGCGTTGTTCAAGCGAATACACAACCATTTTCGTTAATCGGAATGATATGACTGATGTTCTGTCAAATCAGATGCGAAATAAGTCTTGACATATCCCAAAAAACCAGTAACTCAAAAAAAAAACGATAGATGGACCACTCATGTCGGTGTCAAACCTTGAAATTCGTCATTACCTGAAATGCTTAGTCAGTCCCCATATTGCCGGCTAACACCGTAAATTTGATTATTACAACGTTTGACTAAGCATTTCAGTCATTCCCTGTAATGACTGAATAATTTAAGTCAAACACCGTAACAACCACATAAACTTCGTTGCTGCACTCGCCTATTTTAGTCAAACGCTGTAATCAATACGGTGTTGCTCCAATGAAGTACATAATATAACAAGGTACTACTTTATCAATAATATTAAAAGAAAAATAATCAAGTATGAATTAATCCAAGAGGAAAGAAGAATAGATTAGAACAGAGTGCCCCAAACTTTTTTGTGTCGTAGACCCCTTGCCATGTTTTTCCGTGTTGGGTAGACCCCCTACTTACCTGATGTTGATTTCCTGTAAATTTCTAACTGTAGTGAAGTTTAGTGTTAAAAACTTAAAGTAAAAACACATGTTAATTTATACATTTATTAATTGAATTTAAATTAAAACTACTCAAAATAAAATTTTGTATCTGTTATGTAAAATATACGTAACATTAAATAAACAGGTGTCTGACCAATAAGTGCCCGCATTGGGAATAAGTGCCCGCATTGAAAAAAAATAACAGGGATAAAATAAAAAAAAGTGAAAAATAATAAAAAAAAGTTTTTTACTTAAAATAGTACAATAAGCGAGTTCGTTTATTAATTATAACATAAACGTATGTTCTACAATCATTTCACTGTTAGTTTGATTGAATTCCGATTCTTATACGTTTAAGTTGTCTAAACATAGGCAAAAAATTAACGAGTTTTAGTGTGTACCTATCCTTGAATTTTCAGAATAATTTAAAAAAAAATTTTTTCTATAAAGGAGGGTTCTTTAAAAAAATCAATGCGGGCACTTATTCCCAATGCGGGCATTTATTGGTAAGATACCAATAAACATAAGATAAACTATAAATAAAATAACATAAGCAATAAGTCAATATTTTTAGTGAGAAGGATGAACCTGATGCTTTAATAATAAATTATCAACATTTGGCGTCAATTTTGTAAGGGTTAATCTTAAATCTCCTCGGCTAATGATGTCCAGTCTGTTTCTTTTTTTCGTTAGGAGATTGGTAACAGCGCTGAACCCCCTTTCGACTAAAAATATCCTCGCTATATTCCATAATACGGGATAAGTAACGGGTATGTTGTTTTGCAGCCAGAATTGCTGATATCCGTTTTTAAACTGAACCTTAAGTTCTTCGTTTGTACTTAGTTCAGTCAGTTCCTCTTGTATTATGACATTCGTTTCTTCTATGTCACTATATGGATTAATTATCCACGGTGGTATTACCATAGTCAAAATATCCTCAAACCTAGATTCAAAATATGAATAGAGGGCATTTAAATGTTGAACGTAAGTTGAAACGTCGTCTTCCTGGCAGCTTGTCTGTGACAAATTGGGGAACTGAGAAAATTCGCCCCGTCCAATATTTTGCTTCATTAGTTTAACTCTGGCAAGAAACGCTGATAAGATGGACTTTGTTTTAATCAAATTTAAACTGTCGCCTTGTAATTGCAAATTAACCATATTAAATTTTGTAAACAAATCTGTTAAATTCTAAAATAGTCTCAAAGAGTGCAAGAAATCTTGTCAAACATAAGCCTTTCGACAGCCAGCGTACTTCAGTGTGAAGGAGTAATTGATGAAAGTGTTCGTCATTTTCTACACAACTGCGCAAATAACCGCGTATTCAACGCGTTGCTTCGGATTCGGTTTACTGCATCAATGACTAAATGAAGTGATTCATGCAATCTAACACTCAAATTTTTAGCAACTAAATGTTGTCGATGGATGACGCAATGTATTGCTAACACCCCTGACACATTTTGTTTTAAATAGCTTATAAATCCACGATAACGTCCAACCATGGCAGGTGCTCCATCTGTAGCTACTGATATTATATTTGATAAAGGAATTGCTTTTTCAATGAAGTAATCCTTCAAAACATGAAATATTGATTCACCTTTAGTGTCGGTTATCAAAGTTCTTGCGAAGAGCAGTTCTTCGTAGATTTCTTGATTCATAATAAAGCGAACATATGCCAATAATAATGCTGCATTATCAGGTAAAGTTGACTCGTCCAGTTGTATAGAGAAATGGGTCGTTTGCAAATAATTTCATAAGAAGCTTTCAATATCAGAACTCATTTCATCAATACGTCTTTCAACAGTATTGCTGCTTAAGGGAATTCTTTTAACGATATCAGATGCAGGTTTGTGTAAAACAGTTTTTAAAACCTCTTCAACGGCTGTCAAAATTAACTTCTCTCCGATAGTATGCGGTTTTCCGAATTTTGCTATAAGTAACGAGATATTGTAAGACGCCCGCAAACCATCATTTCTTTGTGACGTCGAAGCGAACATTCTGTCCAGTGTAGGTCTCTTCTGAAATTTATCTTTGAGTGTTTGAAAGTATTTCAAATTTTTCTCTGTTTTATCAGGGTGGCATCTTCTCAGATGATCTTGCAGTTTAGATGGTTTCATAGCGTCATTGCCCAAAACTTTGTTGCATAAAAGGCACATAGGCGATTGTTTGTCCGGCAATGATGGAATGAAGCCAAATTTCAAATAATCAACACTGTACTGTCTACATTTCATTTTAGATTCGGACATGGCATCAGTCATCTGTGGGCAAAATTAAATTATTTAAATAAGACAGAAAATCCAGCAGCTGTATATTAAAAATATTTTTTGTTTTTGCCGAAAACATTCCATAATTCTAACATCTTCTTGCAACAAATAGCTCGAATTACGGAGATTGCACTGTAATTATATTACCGATTGCTAAAACTTTCAAAAAGAAACTATTGAGCAGTACTCGTGTAATTTTGCATGATTGAATATTTAACTACTAATAACTAAAGTCATGATTGGCGTAATTTATCTATCTTTGCTAACTACGAGTACAAAACTAAAATTTAATAAAAAATAATGTACTTACTTTTCTCCAGCACTCTCAAACAATATAACACTGAGTCACCATAATTTGTGTGATATACTATCTGTTTATATTTTTTAAAATATTTTCTTAGCACTTTCCTGTTCAAGATTCAGGAAACGAATAAACGTAATTGTCCCACATTCGTATTTATAGAGTGACGAATTGAACAAGTCAGTGCAAGGTAGCGAAGCTCTGAGACTGCGACTATCAGGTTTTTACAAGTTCAAAATGTATTGCGACCACAAAGAGAATACCAACATCCTACAACTTACACAATTTTATAAACATATATATATATATATAACATTTTTTACTTCATAGGTACTTTTATAAATAATGTATATGTTTTGATATTATAAGATAGTATGATGTAACTAAATACGTGATATCAGTGTATGTGTTGAGATCCGCTATCGTGGACCCCCATATTCATTTCATGGACCTCGACATTTTTTTTCGCTGACGTAGACCCCTTGCAGGTTGTCATAGACCCCTAAGGGTCGATATAGACCACATTGGGAATCAATGGATTAGAACGTTGTCTTTATTATTACATGATTGTTTTTTTAATCAAGTATTTACTATATATACGAAATCCAGCAACTGGATGCTGCTGTTAAGCAAGCCTATGTACGTTATAATTTAGGTTAGGTTCACAAAACTATAAAAATTAACTTATCTCCTTTAACACATTTGTATTCCATGGTTTTTTCTTGTTCACACTGTGATAGTATTCACTTAGTTTCTTGTAAAACAATTCTGAATGCTACGGCATTTTTACAAACACTGAAAAGACGTTGTGTATACTCAAGCAAATGAACACAAAACTGGTACAATGAATGACTGAATCAGGCAAATGCCGTAATGAAGTTAATGTGGTTGTTACGGTGTTTGACTGAAATTGTTCAGTCAGTTCAGGGAATAACTGAAATGCTTAGTAAAACGTTGTAATAATCAAACTGTTGCGGTGTTTGCCGGCAATACGGGGGCTGACTAGGCATTGCAGGGAATGACGGATTTTAGCGTTTGACGCCGACATAGGTATATACCTACATTGCGCTTTTACCTGGACAATTTATTATTGAGAGGCAATTTTGATTTGTTTCATTTCACCTCTCGTTTTTTTAAGCATTCAGTCACAATCCAAGGTTTTTTTGCAGAATTGCTTACCTAACAATAACATTGACAAATGCAAAATATTGGCGACCAAGTTATTTGGTGGTTACTGAAAAGGGCCAACTGCAACTTTAAGCTAACTAAACCAAACAAATAGAAGGTGGCCGATATGTAACTGACTGTATCTTGAATATTTATGAAATGAAATAAAAAACATCAATTTTTTTCGTCTTAATCTTTTATTGAAAATAGTGTATGAAAAATAATATCAGACAAATGTTCGTCTCTAGAATCCGCGCTTCAAAGAAGTAAGGTCCAATGACACCTCCATACCAAACACCGCACCAAACTGTGACTAGACGAGGATGTAGTGGTCGTTGCTGGATGACACGAGAGTTCTCTAATGCCCAGATATGACGATTCTGCTTATTAACAAATCCGTTCATATCGCTCATTATCAGTTGTCGGTAAAAACCGTTATTTTGGGTATTAAGCTCCAATATTACATGACTGTATTGTCATTTTATGGTCACTAGGCTGTAGTTCTTGGGTTAACTGAATTTAGTATGGCCGCAAATGCAAGTCTTTTTTTAAAATGGTGCATAATGACGTGCGACGAATACCCAGTTCTTGAGACCGATGTCTGGTAGTCGTCTCAGGGGGCTCCACTACACTTTCACGGACTCTCGATATTTTCCGGAGTACGTACACGGAACACGGCCCGACCTTGTCAAGTCTTTAACTTGACCTGTTTGTTCAAATTTCCGCACCAACTGACGAACGGTGTTGACACTGGGCACATTACTTCGACCGAAACCTTGTCGTAGCTTCCGAAGCATTGCAACAATCGACTCATAATTTAAGTAAAACGTTTCAATAATACGGACTCGTTGTGGGATCGTGTAGCGCTCCATGATGAATTAGACGCATGGCTTTAAACAACTACTACGGCGCCATCTATTGAAATGCGTGTATCAAAAATGGCGCGCAATTTAAATCAGTCAGTTATATATTGGCCACCCTATGTAGCTTTATCTACCTTAATTTTTAATCCAAAAGTTCTTTCGCGTTATAAGTAGAAATTTCACGATCTCGTTTTGTTGCCATTGAATTCTACTGAAGGAAGCTCAGTACGCCCAAAAAGAGACTATGAATATCAAATTAAATTGAATAATTCCAATTCTTTTTATTGGTTAACTATAGTAACAATGATATTATATAAATAAATTCCATGCTATGTTTTACTACGTATTTGATTTTAGAAAAGAATCTGCTCCGATGACCGTAACTATGTAGAAAAAAACGAGGAGAATTCATGCAAGCTCTGCTACTATTTTCAATTTCATATATTCCGCCATTGTTAATGTTTGATGGAGAGAATCTTTCGGACTATTCACGTTCCTCAATGATGAATTAAGCAAAACTGTTCATTTCACGGTAATAAATATTTACTGTTTTAATATTTGTCTCTTTGCCTTATTCAATTTATCCCTGTTTATTAATAATAAGTGAACGATCAACATTGCAGCACAGATAGTATTTCTGCCTTGCTCTACGTGAGGATACCGAGTACAAATATGTATGGTTTGTATTGGTAGGCAATGGTAGTCAAATAAGTCAAAACTAAAATTACACAGTTTTTTCAATAAACAATGCAATGTAACTGTTCTCAGACAATTCGTTCACTGCTCATGTTACTCATATTCTGTTTTTTTTTGTACAACTGTATTGTCATTTTATGGTCACTAGGCTGTAGTTCTTGGGTTAACTGAATTTTGTATGGCCGCAAATACAAGTCTTTTTTTAAAATGGTGCATGATGACGTGCGACGAATACCCAGTTCTTGAGAGCGATGTCTGGTAGACGTCTCAGGGGGCTCCACTACACTTTCACGGACTCTCGATATTTTCCGGAGTACATACACGGAACACGGCCCGACCTTGTCAAGTCTTTAACTTGACCGAAACCTTGTTGTAGCTTCCGAAGCATTGCAACAATCGACTCATTATTTAAGTAAAACGTTTCAGTAATACGGACTCGTTGTGGGATCGTGTAGCGCTCCATGATGAATTAGACGCATGTCTTTAAACAACTACTACGGCGCCATCTATTGAAATGCGTGTATCAAAAACAGCGCGCTATTTAAATCAGATAGTTATATATTGGCCACCCTGTGTAGCTTTATTTACCTTAATTTTTAATCCAAAACTTCTTTCGCGTTATAAGTAAGGAAGCTCAGTACGCCCAAAAAGTGATTATGAATATCAAATTAAATTGAATAATTCCAATTCTTTTTATTGGTTAACTATAGTAACAATGATATTATATAAATAAATTTCATGCTATGTTTTACTACGTATTTGAGTTTAGCAAAGAATCTGCTCCGATGACCGTAACTATGTAGAAAAAACGAGGAGAATTCATGCAAGCTCTGCTACTATTTTCAATATCATGTATTCCGCCATTGTTAATGTTTGATGGAGAGAATCTTTCGGACTATTCACGTTCCTCAATGATGAATTAAGCAAAACTGTTCATTTTACGGTAATAAATATTTAATGTTTTAATATTTGTCTCTTTGCCTTATTCAATTTATCCCTGTTTATCAATAATAAGTGAGCGATCAACATTGCAACACAAATAGTATTTCTGCCTTGCTCTACGTGAGGATACCGAGTACAAATATGTATGGTTTGTATTGGTAGGCAATGGTAGTCAAATGAGTCAAAACTAAAATTACACAGTTTTCGCAATAAACAATGCAATGTAACTGTTCTCAGACAATTCGTTCAATGCTCATGTTACTCATATTCTGTTTTTTTTTGTACAACTAAGTAGGAAATTACACAGTACTGCTTTTGGGTTGGTCGAAAGTAACTCCTTCTCCGCCTTTATGGATCCCTTTATTCAATTTCTTAATAAATCCGATTGTTTCGTCATGTACAGTATAACTCAATCTGATTGGTTCAATTCCTATAAGCATCATATTGTAGACGTGGTATTTGCATATTCTGCATGGCGGAAAATATTGTTTTAATGTCAACGCCCCTTCCGTGCATCTGCCGGGCTGTATATTCATCGGATAATCCCACGGGGACCATCCCTAATTTCATATGGTTACGGCAAATACGCTTCAAAGGCCCCTGAATCCCTCGATCAAAATCCAATTATCTCAACCCCTCTCTAACAGGTGCCCTGTGCTTGTTCTCGTCATGCACGAAATAATAGCCTCGTTTCTGGTATGATTGTTAGGATTAACAAACACGTGTTTGGGCTTTTTATACCGAAGGTGCCACACAGGCAGAGTCTAAATGCCAGGACACCGCGGATGCCATGAGGATCCTAAAGACATCTTGTTAATCGGAGTTTTAGACTCCTAAGCTTAATAGCACTGAAAAACGCTTCCTATTTTACATTGTTCCACAATCTCGACACCCTCGGGACAAAGGAGCGGTCGTATCGGCCA